GGTTTGTAGCCAGAGGGGATCCCAACAGGGTTTTGGCAGCCCCAAGCAGCCCCCCCCCAAAAAAAAAAAAGCCGCGATTGCGATCTGCGGCGGCAATTCGGCGGAAGGTCCTTCGCTCCGAGCGGGAGTGAGGGACCGTCTGCCAAATTGCCGCCGAATAGCTGGACCTGCCGCCCCTCTCTGGAGTGGCTGCCCCAAGCACCTGCTTGCCACGCTGGTGCCTGGAGCCGTCCCTGGATCCCAAGACGAGTTGGAGGAATACCTGCTTTGAAAGTGGGATGGAGCTATTTCATGAGGTCAGATCACCAACAACGGACTTCACAGTCAGCCTCAAACAACAAGTACTAACCATGGGAATCCCTGGATCATCAAAAATAAATGAACTCTGTGACGTTGCACTCTATATGATTTTATGAAAGTATGCTGATGAGTGTGAACATAATGTAACTAAAATATGCTTCATGCAAAAGGTCTCTTGTAAGGTATCATTACAAAGCTCATAATCTACTGAGTGTGGTCATCCTATTTGTATAAATGTATCACTCTTGTATCTGAAACTAGAAATATGAAATATAACTCTGAGGGCTTATTGTAATTATGCAAAGTGTGGGCCATTAATGGTGATTTGGAATCTTGATGGCTCCCATCAACCAGGACAATTGACTGTGGACGGCTCTGTTTGCGGGCAGGCCTTCCTGTGAGTCAGGCTGGGAGGAATGAAAGCTTGGGGGTCTCACAGGACATGTAACCATGTCACTTGAACTGGAATCCATCTTAAACCTGGTGCTTTTCCATTTAGAAGGGGGAGTGGGGACCCAGAGAGACCCGCCTTGTGCCAAAGCCATATAAGGGGGTGGAACAGAACAAAGGTGGCTGCAATCATGAGAAATCCCCTAGCTACCACCTGAGTTGGAACAAGGGCTGTACCAGGGGAAAGGCTTGTGCCCAGACTAGGAAGGCGTCCAGTCTGTGAAAGAAACTTATTGAAAAATCTCTGAGGGTGACATTTTATCTGTATTCAGTTTTATTACTGTACTAGGCTTAGACTTGCGTGTTTTATTTTATTTTGCTTGGTAATTCACTTTGTTCTGTCTGTTACTACTTGGAACTACTTAAATCCTACTTTCTGTATTTAATAAAATCACTTTTTACTTATTAATTAACCCGGGGTATGTATTAATACCTGCGGGGGCAAACAGCTGTGCATATCTCTCTATCAGTGTTATAGAGGGCGAACAATTTATGAGTTTACCCTGTATAAACTTTATACAGGGTAAAATGGATTTATTTGGGGTTTGGACCCCATTGGGAGTTGGGCATCTGAGTGTTAAAGACAGGAACACTTCTCAAGTTGCTTTCAGTTAAATCTGCAGCTTTGGGGCACGTGGTTCAGACCCCGGGTCTGTGTTGGAGCAGACGGGAGTGTCTGGGTCAGCAAGACAGGGTGCTGGAGTCCCAAGCTGCCAGGGCAGGAAAGAAGGGGCAGAAGTAGTCTTGGCATATCAGTTGGCAGTTCCCAAGGGGGTTTCTGTGATCCAACCCATCACAGACTCAATTGAATGGAGAACTGTGCCCATTTTTCTTCCAATGACTTAAGGCCCCCAGTGATAGCAGATGTGCCAATCATTTTGCCCTGCAGCAGGTATATTTTCTATGTTCTGCATCTTTTAGCGGTTCCCTTTTATTTTCTCTCTTTGCAAAGTTTCCCCTGGAATATTAAACAAATGAGAGAAAACTTCCCAACTTTAACAGATTACACAAAAATGCCTAAGAAATGTCATATGTAGGAAAATTCTTTGTGTACGTGCCACCCACTCGGGCACCAGCTTCAGTCATAAGACTAGGGAGCACCAAATCTGGGGCTGGTGTCTAGAGGGGAAAAAGCACCATAAATAGGCATAGGGCTATTTGCTGTGATTCACATATCAGTACAGTAAATGGTTACAGAGCAGTCCCTTTGCAAAGCAATGTAACGGGTAATCTCTGATATGTACTGCTGGGCTGGGCCTGTTGATGGGGGGACCTACTAGGAGTGATAAAAGATTGTTGGTAGGGAAGGTGAGAACTGATGGGGACCAGGGAGGAGTTAGGTCGCTTTTTTCATCCCCCACATTAGGGGTTAAGCTCCCCAGCCATGACTTGCCTTGCCAGTGTCTACCCAGGAGCAGGGCTGAATAGTTCTGGGAGAGCCTCCTCTCCTCTTGTCTGGGGGATTCCACGGAGAGGATCTCTCTCCTTCCATGCCAGAGTCTCTTTCATTTCCCCTCTTCCACACTCCCACCCCCAGGAGCGGAGCTCCTCCAGCGGGGTTTCCATGGGGTCTGTTTTCTTTGCCTCTCCCAAAATGGGGTTCTCTCCCTCTCCCTGCATTCTTCCACCCCGAGGAAGCAACCCAGCTCCTGGCTGCCGCTGTCAGCGCTCTCGACTCATATAGTTCTCGACTCTGTCAGCGGCCAGACTCATATAGTTCTCTAGGCCGAGTCCTTTCTCTCCCTCCCCGAATCCCCCCGCTCAGGAAAGCAGGCTCTGCTCTGCCGGACGCAGCCAGGAGATTCCTGTCCAGGAATCCAGCGCAGGTTTTGCTGGTATCTCGGAACAGGCAGAGCCCCATTGGATAGAAAAATGTGCCTTAGCCAGCGCTTCTTCGCTCACCGTCCCTGCATGTCAGATCCCCGTAGAGGGCAGAGGAGAGAGGGGCAAAAACCCCCACGCAATCTCTCTCTGTCCGCGTCTCTCTCCACACACACCGCTCTAAGTGTGTGCTAGATTCGTATATATTAATTTCCGTATTACACAACTGTCACACTCTCCTGGGCAAAGTTTAGGCTGCTGCTCTTTCTCTTCCTCTGAAAGCCTGGGCTCCTAGGGATTTCATTTCACCCAGCCAATCCGTGCCCCGGGATTGAGCTCTGAACCCAGTGACAACTATATTGCAATGTGACAAGAGGGCCTTGGCAGAGAAAAGAGGTGCAGAGCCCCACTCTGTCGCCTCCTGCCCCCCCCCCCCACACACACACAACTCCACGCAGGACCGTCAACATTTTGAATGAGGCAGACTTCAAAACAAATTGTGACTCTTTCTTTGCAACACCTATTTCGTTGCAACAACCCTTCATCGCTTTTTTTGTTCTGTTGATGTATTAACAATTACAAAAGACTGAAAAGCCAATATAACCAAGATAAGTATTCAAGAGGGAAACCACGAGATATAGTTATATAACAAAAGCAGGTCTCCTCTGCAACACTGTTGCAACGCTTGTTCTTTCCATAACTTTTCCACACACCTTTGTCTGACATCCATAGCTGTGCTATGTCTACTTTACAGTTAGGACAGATGTTTGTTGTGTGCAAAGCAACGTGCACACCTGTAAAAATAATAAATAATATTTTCCATTGGGTGTATAGGGCAATGGTCCGTTCATATATGGAAATACTGCAAGTATAGCTCAGCATAAAATAATTCTCATTCCCTCTCTCCTCACCTCACCCAACCAAAGTGACCTGCTGAGCTCTGGAAAAGGAAATTCCTTGTGGAATACCATATTGATTTGTAAGAGCTCTCCTACAACGTGGTGGCAGCAGTCAGAGTGTTTCCTCTATGGACTTTGCAGATGTTACAATCAGTAGCAAATTGTAATAGATAAGTATCTGCTAGCTGGCCTGAGCATTCTGCTGTACTTCTGCATACTCAAAAAGGTTTTAAAACACTATTTCCTGGAAAATTAATTCAAAGTGTGGGAAACTTCCCCCTAATGAGTGAGATGTAAGAGGTCTAACACAGAGAGAAGTGTGTAAGAGAAACAGAGCCCCCCAACTAAGTGACAGTTTCCTCCTAATTCCTTATGGTAAAAAAGGCAGGATGGCTGAGGCCAATATTGGGATTTGGATGATATTCCTATTCAAGCCTCCTAACATTTGGATGATATGTTGCTCCCCGCAATAGAGTCCAAATCTGAATGTAACCCCCTCCCTCCCCATTCCGGGAGCTTATCTTTAGCTCGGGTGGGGAGGGAGGAGAGAGGCCAATCTCCCAGCCCACATCCTGGGATGGAAAAGAAGAAAGATTCGCTGGTAGAGAGGGGAGAGGCTGCCCCTTCGCCTGGGGACGTCATCCCCTTGTCAAGTGGCAGGGGTGGGTGAGTGGGAGCCAGATCTGTTTGGGGGATGATCCAAAATTCCCAAGGAGGTGACAAATCTGACCCCTTCCCTAGAGCTCAGCTACCCTCAACAGCCTTCCCGGTCCAGGTCTCGGCTCCCTCATAACTTTTCTCTTGTCACTTGGTGGGGGTGGGTGGCCGCCTCCTCCTTACATTTTGTGAGTCTGCCCCTGCCTTTGAGACGGGGGCCGGTGTCTCTGCCCTGTACTGTGGAGCTCCTGAACGGACGCTTCAGTGTGCAAGCCCCGTAGCTCTTGATTGACCAGCATCGGACAGCGGGTGCTCAGGACATTGCTCTGCTGCAAGGAAACCCCTAAGCTGCACCGGTGATACAGCGAAGCACTTTGTGGTGCATGTGCACAATTCTTGTAATAAAACGGAAACTGATTGCGGGATCTCAGGCTGAGGGCTGGGGGTGCCCTGGCTGGAGGCAGAACCATGTTTCACTTCATGTTTATGGTACCTGGCTAGCAGGGTGAGGGGGTGCATGAGAGACAGACCAATCGGTCCGTGGCAGCAGGGGTTCTCCTTGCTGCATCCCCCAGATGGATGGGTGGGGTCTGTAGGGGGGGGGAGTGAGGGAGCCTCTCCCCCTCAATGGTGTCTCCTGGCTCTTTTTCTGCCGTTTTCAACAGGCGGGCTGGCGAAAGAGCCCTTCTCCCTCCGCCTGGGCGGGCAGGCTGGGCAATAGCGGGCCACGTCCAGTCCGGGAATCCAGCGCAGGTTTTGCCGGTGTCTCTGGGAAGGCTGAGCTCCATTGGATGGAGCAATGTGCCTTAGCCAGGGCTGCGCTCTCCTGTATAACATTCAAAGGAGGGAGAGAGGGGCAAGCGCGCTCTGTCCCTGGCTCCCCCATGCACGGGGCTAGGTGTGCGCGCAGCTCTCCCGGCGCTAGTTTGCGCGCGCTCTCTGTCGCCTATGCAAATCCACACGCCCCCAGCCGGAGTTAGGATGCTGCTGCCGCTTCTTCCTCCTCTGCAAGACCCAGCTCCCGCAGACTTGTTCTCAAGACTATGAAATGACCAGTCCTCTTCACCTAGCAGCAGCAGCCTGGGCACCTGACCTCCTCCGCGCAACCTTGAGCAGACCGGTGGGGAGAAAAGGGCTCCTCTCCTCACCTCTCCTCCTGTGCCTGGGTGCGGTGGCAAAGCCAGGGGGGCTGTGAAAGCAGCGCAGACTCGGGGCACGTTGGTGGCAGCCTTTGGGCTCCCCAGACTGGACGAGTGGCAGGAGAAGCAGCCACTTGAAGAAGGGAGGGGCTCTTGAAAAGCTGCTCCCCTCTCCTCCTCTTCCTCCCCCCCCTTGCCCGAAGAAAGTGGAGTGCGGGGCTTGCTTCTTCCCGAGGACTGCTGCTGGTGGTGGTGTGTGTTTTTTCCTTTGCTTGCTTCTCTGACCAGCCATGGGGAAAGGTCTGGAAAGCACGGCTGCCCGATGCGGACTGGGACTGGGATACTTACTGCAAACGTTCGTGTTACCTGCCCTGGCTATCCTGAGCGCCAGCAGCACGGGCTCCGCAGCGCAAGGTAAGCCACTCGGGAGGGGCTCAGCTAGCCACCCAGCCTCTCCTCCCTCAACTCCTCCTGAGGCAGTGACTGTGCACCTGGATTCCCACTTCCCCAGCTAGCCGGCATATCTATCTATCTATCTATCTATCTATCTATCTATCTATCTATCTATCAAGATTTGCAGATCTATACAAAAAGGGACAGAGAAGACGGAAATTCTCTCTCTTTCTCGCAATGCATCCAACTAACTGAAATGACCAGGGGAGCTTTGGGGGGGGGGGGCATAAGGAGCTGACACTGTTCTAATATGCGTGTTCTCTGCATCTGTGTGTATGTAGGCACATAGTGCATATTTGTGATGATTCGTGTGTGTGTGTAATACATTCCTCTGCACACATGCACCCTCCCTGCCCATGCTGCAGAGTAACTTGAACAGCAAGGGGGTCGGAGGAATTGGCTGTATGGACGCTCGGATTCTCCCCCTCCGGGAGCAGAGAGAAGGGGAGGCTGGGATCCACATGTAGTGGAGCCCTGCAGCTTGCGTGTGAGTGTATATTGGTGGAGCCGAAAAGTCCGAAGTCCTGCTGGAGCTGGGGAGGTTCTGGTCTGATCGCATCCCTCTCTCCTCCTTCTCTTGCTGAAATGGCTTTGCCTGATCTTGGAAAGATGGAGAAGGAGACTGACCCAAGATGAGTCTCCAATAAGGGAGCATCTGGGCTCCGCAATCCTGGGTGGTAGGCTGTCATCAGTGGCAAAAGGGAGCGGTGGCCGGGTAGCAGTGGCCGCTGACTCCCGGGGCAGACACCTGGGCAGGGCATCCCGGAGCTGGTCTGCACTTCCCATATCAACTTGGGCACTCGCACCTCCTTGCCACGGTCCTTTACCTCTTGTGCCTTCCCTTTGAGTGACCGGTGTGTGATGTATGTATTGCCGCAGCTAGTGTCCCTGATGTGTAGCTCGGGTAAACAGGTATTGTGATTTGTTTAATCATAGTCATTTCCTGGGTCATCGACCTGACAAGTTCGTTTAAACAAATAAAATAACCCTCCACCTCTGTAAGGAAGGCTCTGCTGCCCTACGCCTTTGCCCACACTTCCATTTCACACTGAAACTCAGCATACCCTTTGAGCTGTTGTTTGCATCAGTTTCTTTGGACTGCAGAACCGAAAGCTTAAGGAGAGAAAAGAACTTCAGTGGGAACTTGCGGAGGTTAAAACCAGGCAGTCAGGAGAAAGGTGTATGTCTGTGTGTTGGTGGTGCGGTGGTGTTTTCTTCGTAAGCGTCTGTTTGCTGCTCTAACATCTGTGTGATTGGGTATGCTGGAAAGAGACCCTCTGAACCTGACTAGGACGAATGAGTTAATGAAGGCACCAGATAAAGACACATCATGTTAAAAGGGCGGTGATCGGGAAATTTGAGAGCAGAACTCGGCCTAGGTCTTATCACGTCAAAATAAAGAAAAGAGATCAATCAATGAACAAAGCAAGTTCAATAGAGACAGTCAAACAGGAAGATAAGCTGATTAATACTGGAAAGGTGGGGAGCATGGACTGGGCATCATGAATGGCAAATTGGAAGTGTTGATAGTGTTTCTTTGTATATTCCTTTAGCCATTTCTGTAAATCTCTGATAGGCTGAGGAGACAGGGGAGTTGATCCTTTCTCCTCTCTGTGCTGAGAAGAAGCAGATCCTCCTTTTATCCTTTTCTTCCCTGCCCAAAATATAATATGCCCAAAGGGAGTTAAAATGTGTAGAGTGTAATGTAATTCTTTTTTATTTTGTTTGTTCAGTTTTCTGTGAATAAATCTGCAACTGTGTTTTTATTATAGCCTGTATAATAATATAGACTGTAAAATGCCCCTTTCAAAACTATCAATACTTCCAACCCTTCACAGTGAATGTTTAGCTACTTCTTGAGTACACCACAAAGAGCACTGAATCTATATGTCACTAGACCTGGCTATTGCACTACAGATAATGTCTGTACAATACTATTTCTCTCTCATACTCTGACTGCACATAAAACTTTGCTTGTCCTTTCCTCCTCTCCAACTCCCTCTCATTCCAGTAATGGAAGGAATGGAAATGGGTTGCTTGTGTGACAACGTGGTCAATAGATGGTGGGACTTGGTTGCATCTGTGTGGCAGTGTACTGTACATAATGAAGATCAGGTTCATTAAAGCATTTGAAAGAGCTGTTTGCATGGTTACCAAGTAGAAAAAGAAATATTAGAAGTTGATATATTTTTGTCACAGCCAAGCAATAATATGTTTTAGGGACATAGATTTTATTGGGGAGTGCTGGCATAATGTACATGAAGGAATTCTTTTTAAAATGATCTCAATGGGGAGGTACTTGAGAGGACTCTTCAGATCTCCCCCTGTATAATGACCCTGTGATTAAAAGCACATTCATTTATGACCTTTTTGACAGTACTATACCAAAGTGCTGCTGATGGCTCTGGGTTCCAGAGGACTCTGGTGCTGCTGGCTGACTGTCACAGATCTGAGAGCTTTCTTGTTTAGGACTGAGTGAAGATATATGTGTTGTATATTACGTTTCTCTGTGTGGCTATTCTGATCAATTTCCTGTCAATACAAGGGATCTCTTATTCTATTCTCAGATTTACCTCATTTTACTGAGACCTGGTTTTAGCCAGCATAAGTAAGGTACATCAGAAACTTGATCATGAAAAAGAGGTTACAGAAAATATGAATGAAATAAAATTTTTGGAGCATCATGTTGCATTTCTTCTGTGTTTGTTTGTCCCATCATTTTGTATCACTGGTTCAAGTCTGAGCCAGGGCAAGTTACATGTTATGTACATAGACGTGTTAATGGTACTGTGTGTATGTAACCCTATATATTAGAGAGTATGTAACAATGAATATAGTTGTAGATAGGGGTCATGAGGAGAAAGGATCCTCTTGGAAGAAATTGGACAATGGGTAGAAAGGTATTCAACTACTAAGCAGTCAGGAGAACTGTAATTCACATGACAGATGGGATGAGCGGGTGGAGGAGAACCCAAGAGTTCAGATCTCTCTAACCTCACTTCTCATAGACATAGAGAGCTCCTTCCAATTTCAGTTTGTCACTAACATATTACTAAACCTCATTTCATTTTTGTTACTTCTTACATTTACTCTTTGTAACAAAACGATGCGTAACAAACAGAAAACACATTGGGCCTGATTCCTCGCACACACCAGAGTAGGTAAGGGGAGGATCAGTCCACTAGACCCGAGGAAGCTATCAATGTAAACTACAAAGAGACTAGTAAATATGGTACCCGACACATAATATAGCTGTGATCATGCAGTGAGAGAAAGGGGAGAGATCACTGGCAACTCTTTCTGTTGTTTGTGATAGAAAGTTTATTATTTGCCAGAGTGGAAGAATCCAGAGAATGTGGCTAGGATACATTGGTTTGGAGTTTTTCAGATTTCTCTTTCCATTTCTTGTTTCTTAGAACTAGACATAAAATTTGGATGCAGATCTGGATTTGTGATCTTTCCCAGAGTTTGGGGATCTTGAGATCCGGTATATTGCTTTGGTGATCTCTATATATGTCAAATTCCATTTTTTAATGGTGCTGTGTGACAAAGGGTGCTACAATTTAACTGCAGCCTTGTTATGAAGTTTTCTTTCCATACAGGGTTGGGTAAGATTTCCCTCCACTTTATTTAATTCTTTACAAAAAAATATTATCGGTTGATTTTTATTCAACCTGCAATCCAAAGTCCTTCTCTAATTTGTCCATTCCCCTCCACCCATGAATACTCATACTTTGCATCTATATTGCTTTGAACTGTTTGTGTGACCAGCAATAGAAAATAGCCAAATTGGAATCCTTTTCTCTGAAGCACACATAGTCTTCTGATCTTTGGAGGACTTGGCTTCAAATCACTGCTGGTTTTGGTTTTGCAAAATCCAGACCCGATTGATGCTATTTTCTAAAAGAATTCTGCCTCCATTTTCCCCCTTCTTTAGTATGTAGCACTGTTTGTCTTTTGACTGAAGGAAAGAGTCAGGGCATTGTTTTAATTTTACTTGGTTCTAATACTATTTCTTCATAACTATCAAGTACTTTTGTCCTCCCCCCTCCACTCCCTTCATCTTTTGAAGTAGGGTAAGGATGCCTTGGGCATTTTTGGAGCCCTCTCTCTCCTTCTCTTTCCAATGCCTCCTGGAAAATAAATCCACTAATTGAGTAATTGGTGGATTTTTCCCCTCTCTCTAGAGATGGATATCTATGTGTCTCAGAATGTCAGTATATACGCCATTCAACAGAGCTACTAACCAGCAACAGAAGGACATATACTTTCTACTTTACTAGCTTTTTTATTTTATCTGGAGCCATAGAAATATTTTTCTTCAGTTGTCATGAAATCATATGAAAAGCCCACAGTGTTTTAGTTAAATGGTAATATACACCAGAACCCCCAAATCCAAATACCCCTGAACTTTTGAGGATCAAGAGGCTTAGCAAACCAGACACAAACCATGATCTGATATTCAAGATTGGGGCCCATTTCTGTAGTGGGCCAAACCAGAGTAAGATTTTGGACAATGCCCAGGACAAGAATTTGACCAACCCCAAATTTTGAGATAGGGGATGTCCAAATCTCAACCCAGATCTGAATTAATCAACTCAGGCTCATCTCCAGTAAGAGTGTTTGTTATTTCCATATGCCTGTTCTGTGTGAATAAACTGATGGGAATCTGCCTTTGCACTTACCAATTTCTTCCATTGAATTCACATTAAAGTTTTTCAGAAGTTATACTGCAGCTGCTATCATTTCTTGTAAGGCACTCAGATACCACAGTGATGAGGATGTTACAGACAGATTTTTGGGCTAGTAATGATGGTGTGAGAGCTGGGCAAAATGAAAGGCAAAGGTGATGCATATTAGATAGGTTTTGTTTCGATTGTTCCTTAACAAAAACAAAAAAACAAAACAAAAAAACCCCCAAACAAACAAAAATATACAAAGAGAGAGAGAGAGAAAATGTT